ACTCCAAGAGGAAGGATTCCATAGCATCAGGACTGTCCTCGGCCTTCTTTAGGTGGCCACCCTTGGCACATTCTGAGCGCAGACAGGATAGAGGACACACTCCTAATGAGAGTGGGCATGTGGGTAAAAGGAGAAGGAAGTTGCAGCTGCAAAAGCCAGTCAGCAAGCTCCTTTTCTAGGCACCTGGGTCCTTCTGCTACAGTGACATCCATTTGTCCCATACATAATCTCTATTTGTTCCATACATAATTCATCTGTGTGGCCCTGTCGTGCATATAAGTCATACTTAGGGCCACCTAGAAAACCCAAAGCTGTCTCCCAAACTGCTTCTTGTTGAATACCTTCATCAACCCACCCATACAGACAAGACCTAGCACCAATCCTGGCAGTTTTGTCCCCAGGAAGCATAAGGATAATTCTTGGAAGTCCACAAAATTCCCAGGGATCCACCCTTGCTATGGAGGAGGGGCTGTGGGGAAGGGTTGCTGAGCTAAGGTGAGCTGGGAAGACGAGATCTTAATAAGAAGTGTCAGGGCAGAGAATTCCCACTCCTGCCGCTCCGGTAACCATCTTAAAGAACAGGAACACTGTATTCATCAATTCAGTAAATTCCACAGATGAGATGCTAAACTGCCTCGTGCATCCTGAGAGCACACGAAGATTGATCACAGAATTAGACGGCCCTCCTGGAACCCCCGGGGCTGAACAGGACTCACAGACTTTGTGGGGGTTGGGCTGCAGCACATCGGGAACACCCGTCTCATTCTGGACTCCGCGGCTCTTGGGAATGCCTTTGTGTGTGTGTCATTCTTCCCAGTACCATTGCCCACCTGACCAAAATACCAGGGAAAGCTGCCTAACCATCAATCAGCCCTGGCTGGGACAGCGTGATTAGATTATAAAACCATAACTGTGGTCGTTGTACGTCTGCTGGCATAATTACATCAGCATGCTAATGCTGTTTTAATGGTCTCTAATGATGTAATAAGAAATAATGGAATTTATTTGACAGCTACATAACCATTAACAAAACATATTAAGCATAACTAGTACTTCCATAAAAATGCGGGCCATGTCTGAGCGTGCCGGCACCACTTCGTTTCCTGAAACAATGAACAGCTCTAAGGATGTGCTCTTGAACGCCATGCCAAGTGACAACGGAACCACTGGTCTCAAGGGGCTCCCTCCCTGAAACTTCCTTTCCCACACAGCCAGCCAGTGCAAGTCAGTCCACGGAGTTGAGTGCATTTGCTGAGTGGGTGCCCACAACTCTGGGCCTGGTAGGTTCACAGGACGTGTAGCTACAGCTTGTGTGTTCAGAAGGGTAAAACTCCCAGTCCACAAGCACAGGCTCACCCACTAATTCAAGACTCAGAAGGAGGAGTTACACTCCACCCAGTGAGAATGGGCGACTGGTCCAGACTGGACTCTGCCATCCATGGAAGGAGACACCCAGGAACTGACGAGCCTCAGGTAGAGTGGTAGCACTTGGGTCTGACTCAGAGCACGACAGGAGCCAGCAGGGTTCTGAACAGGGCGGCATGCATGGCTGTCTGGGAAGTTTGTGCCAGCCTGAAGCCAGTCCTCAGCCAACAGAGGGCTCGCTCTGTCTGCACGGGAAGGGCTGGTATAGGGATGGGGGTAACTCCCTGTAAGAAGCAGAGGGGAAGTGAGGTCAGAACTGTGGCTAAATTTATTGCACGAAGGTTTTCTTCCATCACAGCACCTCCGTCCCTGTGTCTGGCTCTGATAATGTACTTTTATGATGAGAGTCTCTTTAAAGGTTAGTGGGATTATCTGATAGAGAGACAAGGCTTGGGGAGAAGGAATGGGAGAAATGAGATGAGTCTGGGGAGGAAGGACAGGGAGCAGCCAGGTCCAATATGCCTATGGGACATTAGTGGAGAAGACGGGGACCTGAAAGTATCCAGAGGGGGAAGCCATGCTTCTCAGTCCCAAAAGTCCCCAAAGTTGAAACATAGGATATCAACGGAAGCCACAGAGCTTCCCATCAAAGCAATCCCATCTCCAGTTGAAGAAATTCCCAGTCGTGGGCTCTCAGTGTGGCAGTGCACCTGCATGCCTGGGAGGGAGTGAGGTGGTGAAAGTGAACCGTAAAACCTCTGGTCCCTGCATGCCTCCAGCCTGGTGCATGGCTGAGGCATGTTTGCATATCCCTCAGTCGTGATGCATCTCGAGTCTCACTCCCTCCCTGGGTGACTCATCATCTCTAAAATGAACGGAAGAGGATCTCAGGGGCGGAGGGACAGGAGTGGGACTGGACCCTTGTTTTGCCTTGAGGTTCCCATGAGCTGCTAGCAGCACTAGACAAGGAACTTTCAGGCAACCACGCGGCTGGCCCTGGGCCCCTTAGTCCCACTGGCATTATCTCACCCACACACAGCCAGGCAAGGAGGCACCTTCTGCCGCAGGATCTCATCCTGGGGTAAGGACACAAACAGCCTATGGTTTATCATCCGCCTCAGTGGTGGGCAGAGGAAATCTCTTGGAAATGCAGAGGTTCCCTGCACACGTACTGCATTTGCTGTACAATAGCCACAGGAGGGTTTTGTGGAAGGGAAATAATGAAAATTCAATGAGTCCAGTCCCAAATGGAGCTGTAGAAGTTTGCTTCCAAAGTTGCCTCATACGATCACCTTTTTTTTGTTCACCCTTCCATGTTCAGGCTGCATATGGGAGGGCCTCCCTGCGTAAGCAACTCTGCCTGCTGTTCTCTGACCTCGCTTGGGTCTCTGCCATAACATGCTGACTTGCAACTAAGCATGCGCCCATTCACTCATTCACCCATCTACACACTCACTTCTTCATGCATTCTCTTTGTCAGTAACACAGCAGGTGAGACCCCTAGGCTGCAGAAGAAGTGTCCATTGTCACTGTATCTGGAGATGGATGCTTTGGGAGGAACAGGCCTTCATTGTCCAGTCACTTGTGCTACCACCCTCGAATGGAACACACACTGATGTGCAGGTGCTGTGCCAGGTACTGGCAGCATACAGTGAGAGGTAAGAGACAGCTAAGGGCTAACTATGTATTGGAATGCAGGGAAGGCCACAGGGGCCCATAAGGACACTGACCCTTGGAAGCACCTGGTACTCCTGCATTCCTGCATGGTGTGCCAGAAGGGCATCTGATGGGAGAAAATGGGCTGTGGGCAAGCTCAAGAGTGCTCTTTTCGTGTGTGACATCAATGACCAAGTCACTGCCCATTCCCTGTCCCTAACCAAGCCACCTCTCTATCCATCTTCTCCATGTCTCACCTGGAGTTGCACACCCTTTGCCCACTGCAACCACCTCCACCTGTGCCCAGCTCTCACCTGAATCTCTCCACATCCTCTGCCCTTGCTCAGGCTGTATCAGGTCTTCTCTTTCCCAGCACAAACCAGTCTATCCAATTCCTTGGGCCCCATCACTTGTGTGTAGGGAGCTTCTGTCTCCTTCCTGGGCACTCCTCACCTGTGCTGCCCATCTGAGAACCCAGGTGCAAGAAAACCTGCAGGATCTGAATATGGGGGGCCCTTCCTGTCCCTGTAGGTCTTTACTCCTCTGTGGACATTCGCTTTAAAGTGCTGGTTATTTTCATATCTCATGAAGGGCGGTGGCCATCACAAGCATGCCAAAACATGCCTCTTTTGGACACCTCTATGTGCCATGTGGATCTCCAGTTCGAGGAGCTCCCAGTCCTGAGACTGGCTAAAGTGCTTCCTCAAACACATTCCTCAACGCCCTATATTCTTTTTCCCCCCTCAGTCAATGATAGGATTTGAAGCAAGGACAACCAGCTCCGATCACATAGCCTGGTCTCAGCAGGGCTTCAAGTGAGCATTTGCCATAAGGACACAAGTGAGTATATGCAGCATTGTTTGCAGACTGTGTGGGCGGCCAGTGCTCTACATGCATGCACACACAGATCAAGAACTCACACAAGCCTTCTTTGTTCACAGGCTTCCTTCCAGGTGTGCTGATTTCTCTCTGCTCTTTTAAATCTCATCTCCAAACCAGTCTCTCCCATGAGAACACACCTGCTTGCTTACCTCTGCACAAGCATTTTTTTTTTTTGCTCACAATGTGCAGCTGTTTCCAAGTTCCATTCAGGCACACACCCTTCTCTAGTCTCTCAACTCCTTTCAAGAAACAGGAAAGTTAGGGCTGGAGTGGCGGCTCCACTGACCAATCCTCGGCCTGCAAGCACCAGCAACCATTACGGTCTACAGTTTTTTTCCTGGCTGCTCCACTTTCCCATCCAACTTCCTGTTTACGACCTGGGAAAGCAGTAGAGGATGGCCCAAGTCCTTGGGACCCTGCACCCACCATGGGAGACCTGAAAGAATCTCCTGGCACCTGACTTCAGATGAGTTCAACTCCAGCAATTGTGGCCATTTGGCGAATGAACCAGTGGATGAAAGATTGCTCTCTCTATGCCTCTCCTTCTCTCTGTAAATCTGCCTTTCCAATAAAAACAAACAAAACTTTCAAAAAGAAGAACTGAGGAGGCGGCTATCCCCTAGGTGTGTGCCATGTGTTGTTGATCCTTCCTAAGTGCACTGATGAGATAAGGAACTCTTGCCCTATGCTCACTTCAGTCTTGAGGCTCCAACTTCCACTCCCCCCATACAGACTGTTGAAGGGGCCATGTGCTCAGTGAGTGGCCAATGCATGCTGTCAGCTGGCATTAGCATCCCCAGAGGATCTTGTTCCTTTGCAAGCTTCAGAGTGTTCCAGGCTTCCCAGAGACCCTGGCCTCAGCAACTCTGTTCTTTCAGAAGACCATAACTCTTGTAATTAATGGCAGGTCTGAGCTATATTTAAATAACTTACCAAAACCCACAGGAATTTTCCTTTCATTTCTTTTCTAAACAGTTTCTCTGTGATACAATTAACAAGAACCCCAGGCACACAGTTGTTCCACTTGCAAACCAATTTTTTGAGTCAGAACATGATGTGAACAGAGAATGAACCACAGGGCCCACATCCATGCTTACTTGATGTCCGAGAAAATGCTCGGCGGCATGTGCAGGAGGCGGGCAATGTCCTCCATCAGCTGCTTCCCCTTCTCCAGGCTCAGGGGGCTGTGGAGGAAGAGGTGGGAAGAAGTATTACCGACAGGAGCTCATTAATACTCGAGAAGCTAAAAGTCCCCAGAGAAGCCCCATCGACCCCGCACCCTGCCTGCTGCTCCCTCGTCTTGCTCTCGGGGGCCTGGGATCAGGTGCTTCTTTGGGCATGATGAATCACCTGAATTTTCCAGCAATGAGACAGACAATACGGTGCAAATGGAATTGTTAGGAAGTGTAATGGGCCTGTGATGCGGCAACCGGTTCATCTCAGCCTTCAATGAAAATATAATAAAGGGGGAGGCAGTGGGGGTGGAGAGGGAACGGAGAGAGCAAAGCTGGGAGACAGTGAGAGGCAGAGGCAGAAAGTCAAACTGCAATAGCGTATGAGTGTGCAAAGGAAATACCTATGTCTAATGGATTCATTGCTAAGTGAATCTGACCTCAGTGAAAGGATATGTAAATACCACGCGTGTCGGAGTAAATGACAAGACAGGTGAAGTCTCACCAGCGACCACTGCTTGAAATGGGGATGGCTGTTCCTGCAGGACAAAATACCCAGGTCACAGGATGAGGAAAGTTGCCCTTCTAAGAGACACTGATCAGGAACCATGTATAATTTGAAGTCCCAATTATAAACCTTGAGGTCCAGTATATTCAACTGCAAACATCATAAGTTGCCTCTGAAACCCTCTTACTACCACTTCAAAGAAACACTAAGTTATATTGTCACATTAAAAACAATTGAACATGCTAGGTTTTCAACCTAGCTGACCACTCCTTCATTCGTTCCTTCATTCCACAGATGTTTAAGAACAAAACACACCAATAACTTGCAAAGTACAAGTCTCTGTTGAGTTGGCATTTTCATGGAAGAAGAGAGGCAAGCAAGATATTACAACAATGTTTTGTTATGAGGAGCTGAATGGTGTCATTCCACGTTCACATGGTCATGGCTGAAATCACACAAACTTATTTGAAGAAAGACATGCCACAGATTTTAGCTAGTATGAAGTCTTTCCAGGGCATTCTTATCTACCGTCCCTGGTATCCTTTAGAAAAAGGGGGAAATTCAGGCACAGTGATGGATGTGTGCCAGAGTCAGGGAAGATGACAAAGTGAGAGACAGGGAGAAAACCACACTCAACCAGGGACTATGAGATCACCAGCAACAGAAAGACAAGCAAGCATGCATTCTCCCAGTCTCAGGCAGTGATGTCAACCTACACCCGAGATTTTACCCGGTGCAACCCTGCAGATGTGTTTCAGGAGACTAGGGAGCATTCCAGCCCTGGCTGTTCTTAGGTGGAGAGAAAATGCAGAGATAGTTGACCCCAGGGTTGGATTTGCTAACAAAAGCCTACAAGGTTCTATAAGACAAAGGAGAAAGACCCAAAAGGAATTTCAGAGATCTTACTGCTGCTTCTCCCATCGAGCCCAGGGGTCTAGAAGGACAGAACTGTTCCCTGAAACCTCAGGGCCAGCTCTGGATCCTGGCTTTCTGGCCAAGGTCTCAGAGACCACTGAAGCCCTGACTCTGGTGGGTCCTGGTCCAGGCCTTTGCATGATCACATGAGGCTGGTTTTGCAGGTGTGAGGAGTGCATGTGTTACAGGGTCACAGCAGCTGTCACTAGCATTCCAAAAGAAAACAGATGAGTCCAGCCAAGCTATGCCATAGGGTTTGAGTACACGTGTGGAATAATGCATAGCAAATCTGTGCGAGAGGAGCAATAAAGGAGATCCTGTGAAAACAGAGACGCCACCATCACCAGACACCTGCTAAGGAAAGCTACAAGCAGTGTCCCAGGGAAGTCTGGGACAGCCACAGATACCAGCATACAGTCTCAGAAAGCAGCCAGGTGGGCAAAAATCAACCCAGCCCTGGAGACATGGGGGTGCCTACACAGACTTCAAAAGGTGATCTGAAAAACTAGGGGCTCAGACACTGGTTTCACGGCAGGGTCTTTTCAAATGGCCTCCACTAGGGCAGTGCCAAACAGAAATGTGGGGTCAGAGCTGCTACAGAAGAATCCTTACATCAGGAAACATCTAGTAGTGCAGCAGAGATGAAACTCTGACCTGTGAGAACTGTATAGTGGACTGTGACCAGCACAGCTGTTAGGGCAGGTGGTTAAGTCATGGGGAGTCAAGCCAGTACTACAGTATGCCCAGGGCGCTAGACACAGAACTTCAAGATTTGATGTCCATCCTGATGGCTTTCTTATTTTGGCCCAATTAATCCTATTTCCTGCCTCTCCCTTTCGGAATGAGAAAGCATTCTCTGTGCTTACCCCACAGGAGATATGCGGCTAACGGAATTTGCCTGGAGTGTCAGAGAAAACAATGGACTCTGGAGTTTTGACTTCATGTTGGACTGAGATAAGACTTTGGGCCTCAGGGGGTAAAATGATGATATAGTGTATATGAGAAGGGCATAAGTTTCAAGGAGCTAGAGTGGAATGTTAACTGCTTGAATAGGATTCTGCACCACAAACTAGTGCCAACCTTTATGCCAGTGTTGAGAGTTAATGAGTTGATAGGTTATGGGCACACACTTAGTCTAACTTTGAAGTCAGGGAAGTGGGCCTAGTGGAAGATCCCTAACTCACTAGGGGGCATATCTCAGAAGGGACTGATCTCCAAAGGGTTAGTTCTACAAGCAGAGTGCGCTCCCTGCTTCTCCTCTGGCCTCACCAGATGCCAGATCGTATACTGTGAACCTCCAAATTGTAAGCCAAAACAAACCTTCTCCCCCAACCCCAAGATGCTCCTCTCTGGCATCCTAGCTAAAGTAAAGGAAAAGCCAACCAACACAAGGTGCTGGTTGGTTGGTTAGTTGATGCCAAATCCAGGAGCACTTACTCAAGAAAGAGTGTCAACAGCACAAAGCGTCATTGTAAGACTCAAGTGGCATGGCCATCTAACAGGGCAGGGCTCTGTTGGTGGCACTCTCCTGGGCCAGAGTTCTATACCCCCTTTACCCTTTACTCTCGTAAGTGAGCGTCATTGCACTTGTAACCTGTCCCTTGCTGGACCCGGAACATAATGGACAACAAAAAGTATCTAAGTAAATAAGTGACTGGGCCAACAGGAAATGGGTCTTCCTCACTGCTCAGTGGTTATCCCCAGAGGTCTGGACCAGCTAGGCTCTGTTCCAGGTTCAGTAACCACAAGAAACTTAATATCCAAAAAGAAAAGTGGTTCACACACAAGGATGGATTAAAATGTTCAAATACAAATAACAGCCAAAAGAGAGCAGGATAGCTATACTGTCATCAAACAAAATAGACATCAAGTGTAAAAAGGTTACAATAGAATAAAGCATTAAAAACTGATAAACGTTTCAATATAGTGAGAAGATGTTGAAATTAAACATATGTATACACCTACACAACAAAATGTGTAAAGCAAATATGAACGGACTGGTAAGAAACAAAATCATTCTGTTGGGAATGTCTCATTCTCAGTCATGAGCAGACTATCTAGACAGAAATAGTGAGAAAACAGAGATATTATCACAAGAAGCCAAGCAAGCCTAGACATACACAGCACACTGCTCAGCAAAAGCAACCATGTTCTCACCGACTGTACATGAACCGTTTCCTGGGTTAGACCACTTACTAGGCCACAAATGAGTCCCTAACAGATGTAAAATGATAGATAGCATACAAATATTTTCTTTTCCACCAAAGGATAAAGTTAGAATCGGTGACAAAAGCCAGATTGCAGGCTTGGCATTTGGTACAGCAGATAAACTGCTGCTTGGGGGCCCTCCCATTTCCTTCCAGACAGACCAGGTTTGAATCCTGGTTCCTCTCTCTACTGAAGCTTACATCCCTCTTTGGAGGTAGCTTGAGATAACTCAAGGAGTTCAATCTCTGCTATGTGGGAGACCCAGATAGATGGAGTTGCTAACCGGCAGCTTGACCTGGCCCAGGACTGCAAAAGGAACTCCCTGCTCCTCTCTCACTCTTCTTTTCTCTCTATCAAATAATTCTTAAAAAAAAAAAACCCTAGAAATTCACAAACGTGTGAAAATTACAAGATTTACCTTTAAACAACAAATATATTAGAACCAAGAAGATATCAAATGAAAAATAAGAAATGCTTACGGAAAAATGAAAATAAAAATATTTGAACTTACTGGATTCAATAAAAGTGGTAATAAAGGGGGACATGTATAGTTGCAAATGCTTATATCTAAAAAAATAATTATCTCAAATCAATATCTTAGTTGTGTAGTATAATGAACCAGGGAAATGAGAACAAAGTATCTCAAAGCTAGTAGAGAGAGGGAGATAATGAATATTACAAGAGATAATTTATTAGAGAGGAGAAAAGCAACAGAGAAAGAGTGAAACTGCAAGCTTTTTAAAATGACCAATAAAATCTAAGAATCACTAGCTATGCAGACTAAGAAAAAAGAAAAAAAATTACAAAAATCAGAAACTGAAACGGAGACATTGATCACTGCTTTGACAGTCATAAAAAGGTTTGCAGAAAAATACAATGCAGAACTGTATGCCAACAATTAGGGACTACCTCGGAGAAATTGACAGAAATCTGCAAACTCAAACCATATTGAGACTACACTAAAGATATAAATTCTGAAGAGATCTCTGTTATACCAATTGAGTCAATATTCAGCTCTGTCCTGACCTGAAGGGGCCCTGGGTCTGATGATCTTACTGGTGACCCCACCAAACATTGAAGGAACAAATAGTAACAGTCCTTAGAAAAACAAGGAGGCACTGCTTCCCAGGTCATTCTTTGAAGCAAGTAGACTAGAGACCAGGATCCATCAGGAACATTCATTCCAAAATGCTTAGCACAACAACAATCAAGTTCAGCAATTTATTTAAAAGTGCTACACCCAATGATCAAATGGAGTTTAACGATGTTCAATATACAAAAAGCAATGTAATACATCACATAAACAGGGCGGAAGGAAAAAAGAAACAACACATAATCCTATCAATTAAAGCAGGGGGAAAAAGTCACAATGTTCAGTATT